TCACCAAAAATCTTGAGTTTATTATTATTTTTTTGTACCCCCTATGAATAAGACAAATAAAAGGAAACGGGTGATGAATATATGAAATGTATGACGAATATATGAAATGTATGAATGCATGGATGTAGGGTTGAGTGACGTGATTTTTGTGATAAGTAACCCTATAAGGTAGGGATGTATGGTTCAGTGACAGGGTTTTTGTCATAAGTACCCTTAGAAGGTAGGCTCATTAATTTTGATCTACGGTTAGTCTACCCTCCCAGAAGGTGGTTTTCTTAAGGGTATCATGAATAACACCAGACGAAAAAGGCACAAGCCCCCCCCCCCCCTTAGGTGGAGCCTCTTTATAGACCGAGACTTTCGTCTCAAAGTCGTGAAAGGTCTCGTCATGAGATTTTAGGTTAAGGCCGTTACAAAGAGTCATGGGTGTCCTTCCAAAGTCCTACTCGTCAAGAGGATATCTCTCGATAAGTATTCCTTTTTCGGAAGTCCACCGACTCTAGGCGAAGTCGTCACATAAACTCGCAGGGATGATGTATCCCCTAAGCTAATAGACGAACCTTCTTTCTAAGGGTTATATTAGAATATTTTTGAAAAATAAAAATTCCCGCCACGTAGTAAATATAATGATAAAAAATAGACAGTAAATAAAGGTAATAAATAAATAAATGCAATAAAGAAAATAAAACCCAAAGTAAAACCTAAAACCTAGGGTTAAGGGTCCCCAGCAGAGTCGCCAACTGTTGTGACTGGTTTTTAAATCAGGAGTCGCCACTATTAGTTTTTATCCTAGGGAAGAGAATCTAACAAAAAACCCTAATTCGCAGACAGAGATTCTAGGTTTCGGACTTTATTAGACGAAAGGAAGGTGTTAGGCACCTTTCATCTACCTTGTTCACAAGGATACTAGGTTTTAGGTTTATGTTTGGGTGAAATAGGGTTTTAAATTTTTTATAGGGGAAAGAGTTTTTTTTATAGGAGAACTCGCTATGATTTTTGATCATATGCCTACGTATCCTTTTATGAGGAATCAAAGCTTCAATTCATAGTTCGTATGAGGTTGGTGTTTTTTAGGGGTTGCAAATGTATTTTGAATCACCTCGCATTTTGGATGGGACTAGTGATTGCAGAGATTTTGGCTAAATGCGCGGTTAGTCAAATCTGTTTGAAACCTTTTTGCAAAAACAGTTGATTAGCTTAGTTTGTTGCGAAAAATAGTTTATTGTTTTTTGCGTGTTTTTTAATCGTGTTAATTGCGAAAAATCTTGGTTAATGCATGATAGAAAAATATTTAATGCAATATATGAGAAAATAATATGCATGAGTTTGAATAAAAAATATTTATTTACATGATAATATTTACATATAATAAATAATAATAATAGATAAAGTGTGATAATAAAAATTAATATTAATAATAATAATTATAAATGAAAAATAATAATTTATAAGAATATAATATAGAAAATAATATAAAGAAATAATAAAAAAATAATTAAATTAAACCAGGGGGTGTAGTTTCGGTTGATAAGTAATAATAGGGGGGTACTAAAGGAAATATGGTTGGGCCCAAAACAATTTTGACAGGGGGGTGTATTGTGTTTCGTGTTTTAGTAATTTAAGGAATGAGGGGTGTTAAAATCAATTGGGCTTAGGCCCATTACGCAGTGAAAGGGGGCAGATTAATTGAGTGTTGCGGGGGAGTACGGTAATTATGATGGACCTAGCCTTATGGTCGTCCACTCATGATCAAACGTCAGAATTCTAAGGGTGCACGATAATTCTATGGGTGCACAGGTATTAGATTAAACTGACTATAAGTATTTTTTTTACATTATTCTTCATTTTCGTATTACAGCAACGTCTTCTTCTTCCTTTCTCAACCTTACCTCTCTTTCTCCAAACCCTAATATCTACAACCTACCGCGACATCGTCTAAAATCCAGCCCTCCCCTATTACAAACCCAATCAAATCGAAACCCCTCAAACCACCAAAAAGAAAAGAACGCAAGCTAAGTGATTACCCTGTGCACGTTGTATTATGAACTTTGTTTATAATCTTTCTCTTTGACGGTAAGCTTTGTTTCTAATCCTTCTTTCCGATTTGCAGGCTCTGGCAGTAGCGAGGGAGGATTGAGACGGTGGTGGTGCTTACACAGTTAGGGTTTCAGATATTGAAACCCTAACTGTCCTCTGTGTATTTTCACAAATAAGGGTCCCTGGCGAGCTCTTCTTCTGTATCCACCCTTTTTCTCCTCTGTAATCGAACCCCCTTTTTTCTTTGTTCTTTAGCATTGTACTTATAGGTTAATTTTTAGGACTGTTACAATTGATTAGCATGAATTAGGGATTAGATCTTGTTGTATTGATTTGAATATATTTGATTTTGTGAGATTTGATTTAATACTATTGTTGTAGTTTTCAGATTATGCTTTGTAAGATTTTGTACTGATATTTGATTTGTTCTAGGTTTTGTAATAGTTCAAGATTTGATTCTACTGTATTCTGCAATTTTAGATATGATTTTGGATTTGTATATTTGATTTAATCTATCCAAATATGCATATTTGATTTGTTCTAGTGCACTATGTTTTTGGGCTTCAACTGAATTTGAAGATTTGATTTTGTTTGATTATAATTTCCTGAATTTGGTTTTGAGATTTGATTGGTTTTCAATTTGAATAGTTGTTGTTAGTAGCAAAACCCGCGCTAATTACTGGTAGATTGGAACATTAGATGTTTTACTAGACACTTGGGCTTTGTGTTTTTTTATTTTACCCAGCCCAACGTATTTTTTTTTGCTTCACATTGTTTCTGCCCAGCAAATCAAACCTCTTAATAAATGATAATATAAAAACATTATTACAACGTTTTTTTTTACAAAGATAAAGACAAGAAGTTTTTTTAATAATAATATTTCTACCTTTTATTAATTGAACGTTTTATCAGTAAGAAAATAAAAAATAAATATTACATTTTCTTTTAATAAAGAAAAGTATATTATTTTATTTATCTTTATAGAAAGTTTTAATATTAATATCCTCTTTTTCTAAACAAGACAACAATATCTAATGGGCTTGTTATTCCGAAATTACACCCCATTTTCTGCTGTTTGGATAACAAAAATAGAAATGGGCCAAATAAGTAAATTGCAACCACACCCTCCTTTTTTACTGACAACAACGAACACTTAAATGAGCTTAGTTAATATTGAATTCCCCCCCCATGCATGACTGCTGGCTCCAAACCATGCAAACCGAACTTCAAGACCTAAAGCAAACTAACACATAGAACATAATTGACCTTCCTCCTAATAAAAATCACATAGGATGTAAATGGATTTATAGAATAAAATATCTTGTTGATGATTCTATTGACAGGTACAAAGCAAGACTTGTAGAAAAAGGATATACTCAACTCGAAGGTGTTGATTACTTTGACACTTTCTCTCATGTTGCTAAATTAACTATTATAAGGAATCTTCTTGCCTTATTAGCTTCCATTAAAAATTGACATCTAGAAAAACTAGATGTCAATACTTCTTTTCTTTATGAGAATCTAAATGAAAAAGTTTATATAACAATTCCTAAAGTTTACAATCTTCTTCATTCACCTTCCCCACAAAGGTTGTAAACTGAACAAAAACTTTTAGGGCCTTAAGCAAGCAAGTAGATAGTGGTATTCCAAACTATATGATTCTTTAATCTCTCTTGGTTATATTTATTCTAATGCTGATTATTCCTTATTTACAAAATCTTGTAATAACCACTTTAATGCTCTGTTAGTCTATATAGATGATTTAGTTTTAACAAGTAATGACCTCACAAAAATTCATAGTGTAAAAGTCATCCTTCCTCACAGTTTTTTTATCAAAGACTTGAGACCTCTTCGATACTTTCTTGGTCTTGAATTGACTAGAAAAAATAGGCATGTTTGCTTTTAAACCATCTCATACTCCTTATAATCTTTCCTTCAAACTTCATTTCACTACTTCTCCACCTTATTATGTTTCTAGTAGACTCATAGGACAACTTAATTATCTAACTACCACTTGTCCTGATATTTTTGTTGTTGTACAACAACTGAGTCAATTTGTTTCTAACCCAACATTTACTCACTATCAAGCTGCCCTCCGTATTTTATAATATTTAAAATCCTGCCCTACTGCGAGTCTCTTTTTTCCAACAACAACTGATTTAATTTTCTATGACTTTACATATAAGATAATGATTGGACAACTTGCCTTACAACGAGACAATGAGTCACAAGCTTTACCATATTTCTTGGCAAATCTCCCATCTCTTGGAAGTCAAAAAAATAGGTCACCATGTCATGCTCCAGTTCAGAAGCTGGGTATCAAGCACTCGAAAATCTCATCTATGAAATGCAATGGCGGCCCTACCTCTTCAAAGACCTCCACATTGAATTTCCAAGATCCACTTCTCTCTATTGCAACAACAGATCTACGATCTACCTAACGCACAATCCAACATTTCACAAACACTCAAAACACATAAAAATTGACGGTCACATTCATAAAAAAGACCAAAATCTAAACTCATCAAACTCTATCATATTCCATCTTGTACTCGTATTATTAATGTTCTTGCTAAATCTCTCCCAACCCAACCTTTCTCATCTTTTTTAGCCAAACTTAAACTTATCTAAATCCACCGTCCTACTTGTAGGGGAGTGTTATTCCTAATAATTTATTTTAGTGCTAATTGCACTTTTATAAATAAAAAAACTTTAGTTGATACACCACCTATTCAAGCTTTTGATAATAATAATAACATGATAGTAACATGTGTATTTTTACCTATGCAATTACAAATTACAATACAAATCTATTTAAAATTTTCATTCCAAAGTTGAAAAAAATAAAACCGTTCATTCTCGTTTCTTTTTCACTCTCCTCTCCGGTAGCATTTCCCTCAACGAGAACCATTCGAAAAACCGAACAAACGGTGAGATTCAAATCTCGATCTGAATCGGTAAAAATGGCGGCGACGAATCACCCCATACAGATCGCCATTCTCGGAGCAGGCACATTTGTGAAGAGTCAGTATCTTCCACGACTCTCGGAGATCTCCAATCTCTTCCATCTCAAAGCTATTTGGAGCCGAACCGAGAATTCTGCGAGTAGTGCTGTGGAAATTGCGAACAAAGACTTTGGTGGAGTGGAGTGTAAATGGGGAGATAACGGTCTTCAGGATATTATTCAAGATTCATCCATTGTTGCCGTTATTGTCGTTTTGGCTGGACAACATCAGGTTTATTGCTTTTCGTTAATTCATCATTGGATAGTAACTATAACTTCAATCATGTTAGCGCTTAGAATTGATTCGGGACGTGTAGAATTGATTTTGATATGTTTGGTTGTGTAAGCTAGGATTATTAGCTTCTGTATTTTCACGACAGATGTGACTCCAGACGTACGTTTACCATTCCAAACGTGAATCCAAACAAGTGCTTAATCATTTTCGAGAAAGTTCATGATAGAAATTGAGAGAGAGAGAGAGATTTTCATTTGATCTAACTACTTTTTCATTATGTGTCAAAGTTAGTTACAAAGATATAACAGGATTGTTTTTATACTTCAACCTGTGACCTGCAGTGGCAGGTATTAGCTAATGACACCTTGACAGGTGTCAGTTATACAATGATTAACTAAACTGATGGATACATCTAATACCCCCACAAACTCAGGAAGTGGTGACCACTCTGAGTTTGTGCCTTAGTTTTAGAAACTTTGTAGATGTCAAAGGTTTTGTTAGCACATCATCAACTTGATCAGGACCAGGAATATGCACAATTGACCGCAGCTTGGCTAACACCTTTTCTCTGACAAAAAAAAGATCTATCTCCATATGTTTTGTTTTGGAGTGCATAACTGGATTATCACATAGCACAACTGGTGGCTTGGTAACAATGTTCAGTTCCTGCAGAAGAGTCTAAATCCAGAGCAAGTCTGCAGTAGCAAGAGCCAGTGATCTGTATTCAGATTCAGTACTAGAGCGTGCCATAACAACCTGTTTCTTAGACCACCAAGTGATGAGATTATCACCAAAGAAAATAGCTGCCCCAGATGTGCTTCTTCTTTCATCAGGGTCTGATGCTCAGTCAGCATCACAGAAAACTTGCAAGGCAGGAGGAGAAGAGGTGGAAAGAGGAGTCAGAGCCAATCCATACCCAATTGTGCCTTTTAAGTACTTCAAAATTCGTTTCACTGCCACCCTATGAGACTCTAGAGGGTGTGCCATGAATTGACACACTTTGTTAACTGCATAAGCCAACTCAGGTTTGGTGATAGTGGCATATTGCAGCCCCTACTACAGACCTGTTAAATAATGGATCAGAAAGAGCAGCAGACCCTGTTTTAGTGAGTTTGCAAGTGGATAGCATAGGAGTGGTGACAAGAGAGGCCTTTAGCATGCTGGTTCTCTACAGCAAATTCCCGATATACTTGGATTGAGTGAGCAGGAGTGAGCCATTGGCAGCTGTCTTAACTTCAATGCCAAGGAAATAGTCAAGACCCCCTAAAAATTTGAGAGAAAAGGCCACATTAAGTTGAGCAACAATGGTGTTGATTAAGGATTCAGAACTGCCAGTGATGATAATATCATCCACATACACTAGGAGATAGATAGTTTGGCCATTGGCAAGATAGATGAACAAGGAGGGATAACATTTACTAGGCTGAAAATTAAGTTTGAGCAGGGTTGTCTGAAGTCTCTCAAACCACTGCCTAGGAGCTTGTTTAAGCCCATAGATTGCCTTCTGCAGTTTACACACTTGTGTAGGATCTATACTTACAAAACCTGGAGGTTGTTGCATATAGACCTCCTCAGTAAGCACTCACTAAGGAATGCATTATTGACATCCGATTGCTTAATTGACCAGTGATGAGTGACAACCTCAGTGAGGATTAGCCTAACTGTAACAGGCTTCACAACAGGGGAAAATATTTCTGTGAAATCAAATCCTTGCCTCTGATGGAATCCCTTAGCAACTAATCTGGCCTTGAACTTGTTAACTGTACGATCTGGATTTTCTTTAACCCTGAACACCCATTTACAGCCAATAGCCTGTCTGTTAGGAGGAAGGAAGACAAGAGTCCAAGTTTCATTGGCCATGAGAGCATCAAATTCAGCTTACATAACTGACTGCCAGTGAGGAATAGCCAAGGCCTGTTTAATGTTTTTAGGCTCAGTGTGTGTGAGTAATAGTCTAGGTTGCAGTCTAGGCTGAGCAAAACCTGACTTTACCCTGGTTTGCATACTGTACTGATTTGCAGGCTTAACAGGGACAGTAATGGCCAGAGGAGGCATGGAAGGAGAACTATCAACAGACTCAAAAGATGACTGAGTGGAGGAGTTGACACTGGCAGACCTGGTAGTGAAAGAGGGAGAACCAGAGGCAGGTGAATAACCTGTAGTAGGTTCAGCATTACTAGTAGAGGGAATATCCTGAGCAGGGGTAGAGTGAGAGTGAGAAGTAGAGTGAGAGTGAGAAGTGGGAAAATTGAAGGGAAGAGGAGATAAGGTAGTAGCCTTAGAAGGAGAAATACTGGATACATGGGGGAAAATAGCTCAGGATAGGGAAATTTAGACTCATTAAAGATGACATCCTTGGAGATGTAGAGTCTGCACGTGGGAGACAAACACCTGTAGCCCTTGTGGGAGGTGGAATACCTAAGAAAAAGACATTCTTGGGATCTGAAGTCAAGCTTATGGGTGTTATAAGGTCTTAACAAAGGGAAACAGGAGCAACCAAACACTTTCAGAAAATTATAGTCAGGAGAAACATGAGAAATTAGGTTGAGTGGGACCTGAAAGTTGATGGATGTAGAGGGTAATATGTTAATAAGGTAGACATCAGTTGAGAAAGTTAATAAGGTAGACATCAGTTGAGAAAGCATAGTGCCAATAGACAAGAGGAAGGGAAGCTTGACTCCACGATGTGAGTCCAAGATCCACTATATGCCTTTGCTTCCTTTCAACAACACCATTTTGGTGGTCTGTATGAGGACAGATTATCCTATGGACAATGCTTAAGTCAGTAAGAAACTTGGTGAAGGGTCTGAACTCCCCTCCCCAATTAGATTGAATAGCTTTAATAGGCAAATCCAGTTGAAGTTCAACCATTGTTTTGAATTGTTTGAAAATGTTTAAATCTTCTGATTTAGATTTAAGTAAATAAATCCAAGTGAATATGGAGTAAGCATCAACAAAAGACATGTAATAATTGTGACCAAGAGTGGAGGGACTGGGAGAGGCCCCCCATAGATCACTATAAACAAGTTCAAGTGGCGTAGAATAGGTGGTGTGTGAAGCAGGTGAGTGTAACTTATGTGTTTTTCCCATGCAACAGACAGTACAGAAAAGCGAATGGTCTTTATTTGTAAAGGGAATGTTACAACTTTGCAATACAAGCTTTAAAGCATGAAGATTAGGATGTCCTAACCTAAGATGCCACACATTAGGCAAATTAGGATCTACTCTAGTATAGTGAGCACTAGGCACATCAATTTTATTAGCAGAAACACAAGGGAAACTAGAGGATATTATTTTTTAGGTACTTTAAAAGTTTTACCGTTTTAGTGATGATGGATATTATTTTTCTGGTTTAGTGCATGAGTTTACAAATGTGTTTCTTTCTTTTCTGGTTTATGACTAGTGATGAAAGCGGTAAATGCGGAAAAGTAAAGAACACAAAGATGTATCCTGGTTCCCCTCACAGTCCGAGAGTACTCCAGTCCCCTTTCAACATGAAATAGATGATGGATATTATTTTTCTGGTTTAGTGCATGAGTTTACAGATGTGTTTCTTTCTTTTCTGGTTTATGACTAGTGATGAAAGCGGTAAATGCGGAAAAGTAAAGAACACAGAGATGTATCCTGATTCCCCTCACAGTCCGAGAGTACTCCAGTCCCCTTTCAACATGAAAGAGATTTCCTTATTGTTAGATCTCTAGACAAGACACCCTAGTCCTTCTATACAAGACTCTAACCAATAAAACCACCCAAGAACAATCCTCTTGGACCAAGAACAATCCTCTTGGATTTTCACTATGTCAACAATGAGAACAATCATCTCAAAGTGACTACACTTGTATCCAACAATCCTGGAAAGACAAGATTTAAAAAACCACTTAAACTTATTTCCAACAATCATGGAAAAATAAGTAAGTATCTATCAATATTTGATTTTAAGTGAGTTGAGTAGTAATGATCACTTAGAGTGATTTAATCAATGAATGATCTTCTCTTCCAATGATAATAATGTACAATGACTCGAGATATAATGCTCAAAGTTTTCTGTTTAACAATATGTGAAAGTGTGCAGAAAACTTATGTATGAAAGTGAAGAAAAGCTTGAGTTTGTATTTTGAAAATTCAGAAAATATATTTGGAAGAGGTGTTGAAAATGATTTTGAAAATGAGTATTTATATGTTAATAGCACCTTTTTGAAACATCATAAAGTTCTGTAAATGAATTATGAACAATTGCCAAGATTGAGTGAAAGGTTTCCATGAAAAGGTATTATGAACAGGCATGTGCAAAGCTGCTGTTTTTCAAAATCGTGCAGCATGCAATCGATTGCACCCTTTGTGTAAATCGATTGCACGGGGTTTCAACAGCTATATTTTCAAAAGTTTTAAGTGTGCAATCGATTGCACAAGAGTGTAAATTGATTGCATGTGAAGTTAGTAGCAAAAATTGATTGAGTACAATCGATTGCACAAGCAATGTAAATCGATTGCACTGAGAAACGAAAACAAACGTTTTGAAAATTTTAAGCATGCAATCGATTGCACTAATATGCAAATCGATTGCACTGAGAAACAGTAGCAAAAGATCTGAAAAATTGAAGCATGCAATCGATTGTACTAATATGCAAATCGATTGCACTCAAGTGAAAAATGAATTTTAACTTAGAAAAAACTTGAGTAAGGATTTTTAAAACATTTCTTTTCACCATTGAGCATCTATGTCTTAAGTTCAAAGTAAGTATTATCATTATACCTTGAAAGTTGCTAAGAGCTTGAACTGAAGACTTTGTCCATAGATGCCTTGAGCTTGATAAAAAATCTTTGCCTTCTTTGTCAATCATGATTTGTCTTCATCAAAACAAAAGTTCATTTGAGAAGCTTGATTTTACAACACTCATTAAGTTTTTGGTTATGGAGGGAACAAGCAGAAGATTTTTGAGTGTTAGGTGTGTGCGTGACTGACAAGGTGAGGTGAAAGAACTAGAACCAGCAGATTCAATTTGTAAACCTTGGCCATTTCCAATGAAGATTTGATCATGATGTGTTATTTCCTGCAGATTTTTAGCATCACTACTGATATGATAGGAGGCGCCTTAGTCAGGAAATCAACCAGTAGATGAAGAAGGCATGACATTGGCTACAAAAGTACTTGGAGGTAGCATGAGTGGAGCAGCCATTCTTGCAGGACCAGCAGGTCTAGTCCACACATTTGGAGCATATGATTGCCAAGGTGTGGGATTATAGTAGTTTCCTCCTCCATTAGGTGCCTGAACAAGTGGAGTTCCACCAGCAGTTAATGCCTGAAACTGTTGGTTATACCTGTGCCAGCAATTTAGGGCAGAATGACCAAACTTTGAGCAGACCTGACACTGAAGAGTGGAGTTTCGACCTCCCCTACCTCTACCATTTCTGCCACCTCCTCTACCATTTCTGCCACCTCTGAAGCTATTGTACTCTGGTTCAGCAGAAGGAGAAGCTTGAGAAGCAGAGGAGTCTGAGCTGAGCATAGTGTTGGAATCACCGGAAGCAACCACATCAGATACAACACGAGTGAGATTTAGAGAATCAAGATCAGGAACTGTGACCTTTTTGAATTTCCTGAGACGAAGTTCATGAGCAACAAGCAGGATTTCCACTTCATCAAGGTCCATAATACCAAACTTGCTTTCAATGACAGAAACAACAAGAGCAAATTCAGATGGCAACCTTCAAGAATGACATGTATGTGATGTGACACTGGCAGAGGATCACCAATAGAGGCGAGTGCATCAACTATCGATTTTGAGCAGATAATCCTGAATTGACATAGAATCAAGTGTCATAGCGCGAAGTTCAACACGAAGTTGACGCGCACGAGCTCGTGTTTGCTTCTGGAAATACTGAAACAATCGATCCCATAGCTCATGAGCACGAGTACAGCCAAGCACACGAGACATATTTCGCTAGATAGAGTCGAGTGAAGCCACGATAGCAACAACTGATCTTTTTGAAGCCAAACGGAGTATTCAGGATTCTCAAATCCTGACTTGCGAGCAGCGTCGTCAACAAACTGAGGTGGAATTCGCGAACAGACGACGAAAGCCGTGAGACCGTGCGCATTGATGAACGGTTCAACCTGCTGACGCCATAGGTGGATGTTTTTCTCGTCGAGCTTTTGTGAAATCTTCTACGCAAAATTGAAACGACGAAAGTCATCGGAATCGATTTTTGCATTCGTCACCGGAGTAGGAGAACCGCGATCAGAACCAGAGTGAGAAGCGGAAGGCGACGGTGGCGGCGAAGACACCATGACCGAGGATCGAGCGAAGCTATTCTACTGATACCATGATAGAAATTGAGAGAGAGAGAGAGAGATATTTTCATTTGATCTAACTACTTTTTCATTGTGTCAAAGTTAGTTACAAAGATATAGCATGATTGCTTTTATACTTGCAACCTGTGACCTGCAGTAGCAGGTATTAGCTAATGACACCTTGACAGGTGTTAGTTACACAAAGATTAACTAAACTGATGGATACATGTAATAGTTCAAAATTGATATAAACATGTTAGTCATTTTCGAGGAGGTTCAAAATTGATATAGACATGTTAAGTCATTTTCGAGTATAATGATTGTGTTTTCTAGTTTCAAGTTAATATCGTGTAACTATTGAATCTACACGTGATTTTTGCATATTTAAATATAAATCACTTTATATTTAATATTAATTTATTCAATATCAATTTTTGTCACTGCATGATTAATCTGTTTGGATTAGCCAAAATTTAGTGAATGTAATTGACTCACAAGGATTAATATGATTGAGAGTTTTCTAACAGAATTATTATTTGAGTAAACACCCAAATTTATATATGAAATGGTAGAAGCATGAATTTGATTAACATTTTGCAATTTTAGGGATCATTTTGAAATATTTATAATGTAAAGGACTGAGTTGATACAGTTCTACAATTTCAAAGATCAAATTGGTTATTTTCTTTATTTTGAAAATTTGTTTTTTTGAGACCAAGTTGACATTACTTTTACAATTTCAAATCAAAGACAAAATTTTTTTTATTCACTCAATTAATCAAATATATAGTGGGTTGCAGTATGTCAAATGTAGAGTCATTGCAATGAGTTTTTTTTTTTTTTTTGCTGAAGTTGTTTATTTTTTATATGCAATTTTTTTTCTTACAAATTATCAATTGTTGCAGGTTGAAATCTCACTCAAGATGTTGAAGGCTGGTAAACAAGTACTTCAAGGTAATGTTTATTGCAATTGTAGGGTGTGGTTGATGGCATTGGTTGGCATGCCATCAAGGTAATGATTAATGCAAATGTAGTGTCTTTATGTGTATTTTTTTCTTTATTTCTGAGGGGCAGTTTAACATTTGATAATCATTATTTAGATATTAATCTTTTTGTGCCACTGACTATATTTCCTCTTTATTTTGATGTACTTATGTGTTGGGTGGCTGATTTTGTGGATATGAAGAGAAACCTGCCGCCTCTTGTAAGTAGTAGCTCTAACTTTTGCTGGCCCTTGGTAGATTCTCTTTTACTATTAATATTGTTTCTGTTCTTTTTCTTTTTAATTCTAAACATAATTAAACATTAATCTGATACTGCAGGTACAAATGAGCTGGAAACTGCATTATCTGCCTACAAATCGATTTCTGCTGACGCTCCTGGCCAAATAATTTGGTCTGTGGCTGAAAATTATCGTTTTGAACCAGCCTTAGTGGAGGTATTTTCTGTTTCTGTTTTGACATTTTAACCTATGAATCTGACTGTCCAATCCATTATTCACGTAGTTCTTTGGCAGGGCAAGAAGCTAATTGCTGACATTGGGAAAATGATGAGTGTCCAAGTTATTGTAGAAGGATCAATGAACAGTTCAAACCCATACTTTTCAAGTTCTTGGAGGCGCAGTTTTACTGTATGTCCTTTGAAATTAATTGAATAATATATTTTATCCAGTTTTTTCTCAAAATTATTTGGTTCCTTATGTGAAGCTATCGTTTTTTCTTTCTGGCAGGGAGGCTTTATTCTTGATATGGGTGTGCATTTCATTGCGGGGTTAAGAATGGTAATATTCAAAATTTTACTATCTAATTCACAGACTATTTTATTCATTAACCGTCTTCTTCTGTATTTCTTAATGCAATTTATGTTGTAGATAAACTCTGATTATCATTGGTGTAATAAAATCAAATACTACTTTCTGGCATCTGAATCTTAGATTATGAATGAACCACTCTTTATCAAAACTTTCTTACTAATGTTTAATGTCTGCCAAAACATACTTGAGTGTGGAAAATCAATTGCTTGTCTGATTTAAACTTTTTTGTGAAAGAATATGTTTTAAAATGGTTATAGTTTCACTTTGAATGCATAAATTGTGTAAGAAAATTGCGCTTTCGTTTTAGCTTCAAAACAAGCCTCAATCTGTAAGTCGCTTATGATTTTAGAAGTTGATGAAATTTCCTGTCTACTTGGAAAGTAAAAAAATGATAAGAACTGATGGACAGCTTTGCTACAGAGTTACATCTGTATGGATTTAATGATTGCCTCCTTTTACTCTTGACAGCTTGTTGGGTGTGAGGTGGTTTCAGTTTCAGCTATGACATCGCATGTGGATTTGATCTTACCATCACCAGATAATTTATCATCTGTCTTGTAAGCCTCTATTTTCAAGCAATAACTTTACAAACACTTGACCGAGAAGTCTGAATATTTTTGGAATGTTTTTCCTCAGTCATTTGGAGAATGGATGCTCAGGAGTATTTGTAATGGTTGTCTCCTCCAGATCACCCAAGGCATGTGGTAAATGATCACTCATCTTACAAAATTGCGCACACAGAAACACGTGCTAATCGTCCCAAACAGTAGATATGTTCATTATTCATGCATTTTTCATTCAAGTCTTTAATCATTGCATTAAACACATTACAGATCTTGTGGCGAGTTGTTGGCATGAATGGAACCCTTCAAATTGAGCGTGGATTTCAAGGACAACATGGATACCTGGTATATATTCTAGTTATAAGTAGCATCACAGGTTTTCATAAATAATATCTTAGGTAGGATCTGAGTTTTTCCTTCAATATGCACTTAAATTAATCAAATCACTTTCAGTTATCTTCATTATTTTCTGACGTTATGATGCTATATAGGTTTCATTATACGATGCTAATGGACAATGCAAAAGCTCATTTTTCCCATTCAGTGGAGTAACTGAAGAATTAAAAACTTTTTTTAATGATGTTTCTGAAAACACCCTCAAGGTAATAAGATTCTTACAAACTGCTTCCACAATTTGACTTTCTCATTTTTAAGTTTCGTGTCAAATTCTTCACATATATTTTTCTTCATTATGTTCCTTTCTTATACTCAATTAAATATCCATGCTGGTATGCATTCTCTAGTCTAATTTATTTCCATTTTGTAGAAGAGTAGTGAGTTTGTGCCCGAGCACCGCCTCTCTTTGGTCGAGGGTGCGAGAGACGTTGCTCTTTTAGAGGCAATGCTTGAGTCTGGATCAAGGCAGGGCAAGCAAGTTCATGTAAAAAAGTTTTGAGGTAATCATATAGCTTTGCACTGGCCTCTTAATTCAATATCTACAGATATTTACTAAGTGTAGATGAAAAAGCCAGTGGATCAAGGCAGGGCGATCAACCCAATCGGATGAAGTTGTAGGATTTGTATACATTTATTGAAATTATTACTTGTATGCTCGTGATGATGCATCTGAAACTTCTAATACCTCGAAGCTTAGTATTCGAAATAATGCAATGCAAGTTGAGCTTATTTTTTGGTCTAATAATTCAAGGTCATGGGCTTATTTTTTGGTTTGAGTTTGACATTTTTAAAAACAAATAGCATGTTAGCCAACTTAAAGAAATTTTAACAAATAGCATGTTCGGCAACTTAATGTAATGTGTAACATCTCTGTCTTTTGTTTAACTCAAAATACAAGTGCTTGCATGATTTCATAGTTGAAAATCCAAATCCGTCGATGTTATGCAGAATATTAAATGACATAAGCTACACTATAAATTCTTCTGGAAAGATATAGATATGGTATCTCTAATCAAATTGTTGTTGATGAGAGTAAAGTTGTTTCCCATGAGGATTGATATGTATTAATCTTCTAAGAAGCTAAAGTGCCTGCGTTTTTTTTTTGGGGATAAAAAACCAAATTAAACGAATCCTAAAAGTTATAATTTGGGAGGGGAAAAAAGTATGAAATCCACTATGAAATCATGCAAGCACTTGTATTTTGACAAGCTTTTGTAAAATTTTAGTTTAAGTTTTGATCCTCCATAATAATCTCCATACAAATGTAACTTGTAGGAGTAGTCTTTATTTTGAATTTTTACATTAAAAAAATACTTCTAACCATTAAAATAACAGATACTTATTTAGCATCATATGAATGATATGAAGTATTTCATTTGTTATCTATATGAATAATTGAATATGGAACAATTATACATTCGGTGCATCCCTTGCTTTTTCACTTAACTTTGAAAAATTATTCTTATACTATTTGTGTTGTGCTATAAGTTTGTTGTTTTTTTAGTTTTGAATAAGCTACATTACTTAAGATACAAGTAATGTCCATAACACTTGTTACATTGTGTATATAAAGCCACTGTGGTAATGAAAATACTTGAGAGCAATACCGTTGTGTTCAACAAGTGATATCATCACACTAGTTCGATGTAAAACTTAAAATTGAAAATTTGCAATTTCTTTAGTTATAATTGTCAACAGTTTTTCATGCCACTACTTCATTTTCTTCTCTCTTTTTGAACTTTGCTCGTTCCAAGTCTTTACACTGATCCTTTTCACCATGATTGAATCATCGCCACTCATTCAGCCTAACCCCAAGATTCGATGGCTTTTATGAGAGGAATCAACTTATCATCTCCTCTTATATGACACCCCCAAAATGTATGAAAAAATTAGATTGTTCAAACTCAAATATTTTCTAGAAATTTTAAATTTCCGTGACCAACTGGATTTTTCAAATCTTTGGCAATACCCGAAATATCGAGGCGATTATCGAAAATTTGGTGAAATTGTAAGGAAATTCTGGTATTTTTGCGAAATATCTGGTACTTTACACCGAAAATTTCAAAAATTCGATATTTTCGTATCAGAAATTTTGAAATTTCCGGTGGAAACATTTTCCTTCCACACTGGAGATTTCAAAATTTACTTACTAGAAATTTAGTAGGGGTGTACCGGAAATGTCATATGTATCGGAAATTTCAACCTTCTACCCGAAATTTTGTCTAGAAATTTCTTTGTATCTCATTAGGGGCAAAATTGAAATAAATTTTTTTGGAGAGTGACATGTTTAATTTTGAGGGTGACATGTTAATTCCTCCTTCTATGACCATTGGTCAATATTGTTGGAGAATTTTCTTTGATCAAAAGAGTATTGAGAATTGATTGATAATGAGATCTCAGTTGCACCTTCAATTGCAACTCAAGAACAATTGAATACCGTAGAGGAGAGAAAATTAAAGAATTTGAAAGCTAATAATTACTTATTCCAGGTTAATAATTGGTCGATCATGTAAACCATTTTTACGCACAACACATCTAAAAATATTTGAGATGTTATGCGCCGCAGGTATCGTGGCTCTTCAAAAGTTAAACCTCAGTCAAATTCAAACATGCATGTCTCCCTCATAGCCACTAGTACACCAGAACATTAATTGGCCTAAATATCGATCTTCTGTCCTGCGGATTTGTAAAGAATTTCATAGACATCTCTTTCTTCAAATATACTCCCTCCGCCAAAATATATTTAACACGACATCCCTAACAAAATCATATCAATATTTAAATTATATAAACTCTCTACAATGAACTATAAAACATATCAAAACACATGTTACAATAAATACGACAAACTTTATCAACAAGAAATAAAGATATGATAAGAAAGTATCTATAGGTATTATGATACTCTACTAATGGCATAAATTAAAATTTACATATTCAAAATTCAATTAAAAGTGAGATGAAAAGACATCAACTACATTTAATATGTTTGATAAAGATGAAAAAGAAACTCTCCCACTCAACAACAAATCAACTATTGAAATAGGGGAAATAGTTAAACTACAAAAACTAAACAATCTTTGTAACCACAAACTAATATTTAAAATAAAGTATAACTCCAATCGAATATGTATAACAATTATCCGTTTACACTTAACATTGTTTATAATAAATAATCATTATTTAGTGCAACGAGGAAACTCAATCACTGCAACCAAGAAGTTCACAAATAAACAAAGTCGATTTAAATACCAAATGTATCAAAGGAAAAATATCAAATTCAAAGACCTGGAGGAGGAATAAAATGAAAAGGAAGAATATGAGGAACATAATGAAAAATTTCAATACAAAAAGAAACACGAGGTAATAATAGTGCAATTCACATACCTTCATCAGATGAAAATGGAAGAAATGTTTAAAAACTCGAGAGTTTATCAAGAATTAGAAGATGATTCAAAATCGTAATTCAAAGATCGAATCATGAATCATATGATCCTACTACAGCTAGAAAAATATATTTATATATGTATAATTACACACACATGCTCAAAAATCATCATATATAAAAAAGGTCATAGGCATAACCATAAATTCAGAAGTCCACGATAATAACCATACATTCATATAAAAAATAGAAAAACTTAGTTCAAAATGAAACAAATCTAAAAACAATTGTTCTAAACATTCAAAGAGTAATCAAATCCCATATAAACATAGTCATATTCATCCTCATTTCCATATTCCTCTTCATTCTCTCGTAACTCTTCATTTTCATTCTCTTCTAATTCTTCATCAATTGAATCACCATTAAAAGGAATAGAATGAACATCCAAATCATCACCAACACCACTACCACTAGTGGCATCTTTGCTGACATTAAGCATGAAGTATTTATCTATACAATTATTATCATTTTTATTCTCTTGCCATTCATCTTTAGATGGAATATCTTTTTGAAAGTTATAAGATGACATTTCAGTTTTCTTCTTTTTGTCCAACTTTAAATTAGTCATCACATAAACTGAAGGAAAATTGCGATCTAAAATGCTGCGGAAATTAAAATTTTCCTTTAGTGATCCTTATAAGTGAGCATGGTCAGTGATAGAAATCATTACCTCTTGTGATGATTCCGACATTTTATGTCGTGATCACGAACATTGATGAATAGCAACGTCTCTTCTCAGTCCACACGAACAAATCACTTTCGGACACAGTGCTAGCTGCTTACGAACGGAAACTTTGAGTGAGAGAGTGAGAAAAAAATACGATTAAGGTTTCAAGACCGAATTTTCATCAAGTAAAATGCTCCAGCACAAGGGTTCTATTTATAGAACCACTTATGTGGGCTGCAAGCTAAAAGCCCAATTAAGGCTGCAAGCTAAAAACCCAATTAAGCATACAGGTCTCATACCTTATGATATACTGCATATCACTTAAGCGTGTGGTACCTTACCACATTCTATATTTTACTCAAGTGAACTGTACCTTACGGTATTCCTTATTTATTCTATCTCTCATCAACCTGTCCTTATGTGTGTGATCCTGTAGGTTTTCATGATGTTGGTAATTATATTAAATCACACATTTGACATAATAAACAGTGAGCGGTATCTAGCAACACATCACTGCTACCCAAGTCACGAAAATGTCATGTGATATGACAAAACATTTCTGTGATAATATTTGTGTGTACAATTACCCTTTTACCCTTATGTCTATATTAAACACAAGGCATAAACCATGTCACCCTTGTTCAGTTCAATATTGGACCCTTAGACATTTATCCTGTTATGCAGGATGGAAAAAATTTCATCTAGGTCACTCATGTTCCTCGGTATGCTTTGTGAAGTACCCATTAACTATCTTTATGGTCATCTAGTTACGAATAATGTTTGATCAGCAATAAAGTATTTAACTCTACATCTAGGGTCCATAGTGGTTTCAGGTCGAAGAGTGATATACACCATTATCACCATGAGAATAACTTATGACACCTTGCATAATATTTGTTGTACCCCAAAATTTTCCCTCTCATTTCTCAAAAAATCTCTCATAAGATCTCCATTGATTCAAGACTACACAACGTTTGATCAGCTCAAGACACCTCCTCAAACACTAACAACTCAAAATTAGGGTCTGAGTTTGTACAAAGATAATTGAACTTCTAATGCCTTATATGTCCTTCATGGATCATTTTGGATCTCCAATATTGCTCATGTCAAGTTTCAAGCTTTGGATCACATTTTTGCTCAGTCAGTCGATCAATTAACCTAAAATCAATTGTATTAGGGAAAAGTCAACTATGGTCAATTTGCAGTCAAAATTCATAATTTTTTATCTATATCAACATTATAAACTCATATATGTCAATTGATAAAGTTTGGATCACAATTCCTCAAAGAAATTTGATCAGAACACCAAAAGGGAAAAATGGTCAAAATCAGGGTTTTGATTGAGAAGGCTCAATTCTTGACTTTTGATAAACAAAATGACTTACTGGTTTAAGACATGATCTCAAGGATTAAAATCCACCATCTTTACCTAATTTCATAGTTCAAATCACCTCTCAAGATCATTCGATTGACAGATGAATTTCAGTCAATTGATGAAAAGTCAACGATACACTGAAAAGTCAAACTTTTACTTTTTGATCAAAATCAAGTTTCAAAAATCATATTTCATCAAGACATGTCAAAATATGAAATTTGTTCATCAAGAAATTAAAAAGTCAAAATTATCTTTGAAAAGTCAAAATTCTAGGACTTAGAAATTTTTCTAAGTGTTAGAAAATTAACATTTTTTTCATAACTTTGTGCCATATTTCCACCATAATGCAAGATGATTCAAGGAAAATTCACAACATCAAAGTTGTAGATATCAATGAGATCTAAAACTTTGTATAAGGAATCAAGTTCTAAAAATGCTTGGATTTCAAGTTATTGATTCAAGAAGTCATGTACATAATACTAAAAATACTTAGTGAAATTTTGAGTATTTTAGTCAAGATTTTGAGCTAACTTCATGGAAACTTTTCACCTAGTTCCAAATTGAACCTTCAAAAATTTCCAACATGAAGGTTGTAGGGGATGTTACAAGCTTTCCAAAATATCCAAGAACTCATTGAGATCATGTTTGAGCTAAGAAAATCGAAGACAAGAAGTTGGACATTCATTCTTGAATTATAGGTCATTTCCATGACGAACAAGAATTCAAATCTCTTAGCCATGCCTTGTAATATTGATTTGAAGGCCCCCAAGTCTATAAATATCTCCATAATCAGAAGATTACACAAACTTTATGGCTATTATCCATTAAATCCAAGCTTTGTCTAAGTTAACTTGCCATTTTTGGAAGAAAGGCAAGACTTCCATTTTGGAAAAGTATGCTTTTGCAAATGTCAACCCCTCTTGAGCCTCTCAATAGATCCTTCTGCACACACTTAACCTAGAAACTCAAAAGAGGCATGTTTAAAGTAATTCAACCACTCTACATAGCTTGTACCATGCATTGTGATTTTGGTTTTCTACTTTACTTCAAAACAAAGCAACCTAGCCATAACCCTACAACTCAGAAATCTCTTGTGAAAAAAATCTCTAACCTTTACCATACAAATATACAAGTCTTTGGAAAGAAAACACACGAATGCTAAGGCCCTGAAAATCCCTCACACACTCACAAACCAGAAATTGCTAAAAAAACACCATTAATACACAGTTCTGCCCTTGAACTTGTATCTTTCATTTCCCTCGTGCGTTTTCCCTCAAAATCATTTGAAAAGCTTCTATACCTCAAATATAGTCCATCCTCGTCCTTGTTTTGGAATTGTAACATCTCCATCACCATCCTCCATAACCAAAAACAGAGGTCTGCAATTGACTTCTCCAGACCATTCCAGCCATCCATAGCTCAAGCTAAGCATTGCATTAGCTTCCTAGAGGTCCAAGGAAGCTAACATGATCATCACAACTCTTTGAAAGCAGCTCAAACTCATTTCACGATTTTCAGTTCTTGAGGTATTTTTCTTAACTTTCATCTCTTCATTTAGGCATTGTTAGACTTTCATTTTCAAAGACAAAATGTAGACATCATTGCCCTGAAGCTGTACATATCCATAGTTTTCATTTATTTTGCTTGAGCTTAGAGAATTTTAAGTTTGAATCTCTGAAAAAAGTTAGGTCAGGATTTGGTACTTTTAAAAATATATGCTCATCTTTGATTGTTAGTCCAAATTGTTTATATTTCTGAAATCCTGGTAAAATTTCTAACAAGTTTGATGTTGGAAATTTTGAGAATGGATGAGAAATGAATGAGATACAGGGACCCTGACTCGAGGTTGAAGATGAAGTTCATTTCTAGGAATGAATTGTAATATATATTTATGGTTTTGTTTAAGTTAACGGATATATAGCTACCCCAGTGGTAAGGCAACGCGTGTTTATGGTCAAGGGCATGGGTTCAAGCCCCACTGCTTCCATTTTACCTTTTTTCTAATATTTTCCATCGTTTCTTTGTTTGAACAAGCCAACGCGCCTCGGTCTCCACAACTGGGTCTTTGCATTTTTACTTATTCTGACCCCCTATTTCCTTTTGACAACGCAACCCATTTCATTTTATTTTATTTTGTTTTTATGTTTACAAAAGCACTAATGGGCCAGACAAAAAAACATCAAATCTATTTTACTTTAAATACTATACCCTAAACTTTTTTACACCCCCTAACCTCATTTTTATATTTTTATTTTATTTTCATTTTCTTTATTTTTATTATCATTAATATTAATATTAATATTAATATTAATATTAATAATAAAAAAGACAAAAATATTTTATTTATTATACTATATACCTATTTTATTTTTTAATACAAAAAGACAACATTTTTCTTATAAAAAAACTTAATTTCTTTTTCTTAATAAATTAATAATTAGATTTAGGTTTAGTTATTTTCTTTTTCAATTAAAATTAACTTAGAATTTAGGTTTTCTTTTAATTAATTTCCATACTATTTTGATTAAACTTAAAATCTTTTCTAAAAAAAACCTATAAATGCTTTCTTGATTAATTTTATTTCTTTTAAACTAGGGTTTAATTTTACTTATTTTAATTAATTTCTTTTAGATAATTAGGTTAAAACCATTTTCCTTAACAAAATCTAAACAAAAATCCATTTCTTTTCCATTTATATCCTTGTACATTATATGCCTTTCAATTCTTGTACATTATTCAAGTTTCAATATGGTTGTAATAGATAATTAGATTTAATTTCTTGCAATCCCCATTTGTAAATTTGTATACCCCATCCCCAAATGATGTAATAGCGTAGTAAATTTACTTTCCGTAATTTATCACTTTCATATAAATGCTAGTAATTAGGATTTGAATGAAAAGATAAAATTAATGCTTAGAGAATCCTAATTCAAGATAAACCAAGCATGAATAAAATAAAAACTTGCGCACTTGCACCCCTAAGGTTAACTCCACTTGTTGCCTAAAAAGTGGTCATGTTATGCATGTGGGATGTCTTAGCAAAAACAATAAAAAATACAAGATCATAGTCCCTCGATGACGCTACGAATGTTGCCTTACAAATGATCTTAGTCTCTCAAGAGAAATGCTAAGATATCTCACAACATTGCTATCATGACTATACGATGACCCACGCCTGTCCCTTTTACATCCAAAGATAAGGCTTCTTACCAATCAATGGCAAGATAGCAATATCAAAGGAAATGAGAGAAATGAACAAAAGAATTTTGAGTAGGTAGAAACGTTCTTAGTTGCTTGCTCACTTTCAAAACAAACATCCTTGCAAACACACACCAAACACTTTCAAAACATGAAATATTTTCAAAAGTCCAACACTTTGTATACGTTCTCACAAAACGAGAACCATTACAAAGTTTTCCTAAACGAAGGCGCCTTTTCAAAAATACTTTCAAAAACCACCACAAAGCATATTTTCAAACAAAGCAAG